AAAGACTCACCTGGTGGCTTCTGTAGTGTAGTGGTTAGGCACTTTGCTGTCGCACGCAGGAGACCTTCCTTATTTAGTTCGATTCCCGAGTGCGGCAAATTTTTATCGAGTATTGCGGTCTTTCTGCTGGGATGTTGTATTCCTTTCAGCTCTGGTTGGGCCTCAAAGGCAAGATCGGAAGCCTGCCTCCTACATGATATAAATTGTCTATAGGAGTAGGAGCGTAAAATCACCTACATTTTAAAAATCTGTGACGATCCAGGGGAAAGCTGTCTCACAGACATTGCTTGGCCTGTGGTCAATGACAGTTCCACCCCAAGGACACGTTGCCCAGAATATATTTTCTCAGCATGGAGCTCAGCTGTTATATTTTGTTTTGTTTTGGGTTTTTTCCCTCATCACCTACTGCCCAGCACAGGTGACCAACCTCCCCTGTACCCACGACCCACGTGTGCTCATCAAGAACTGATCGCTTTGCATGGCCTATATACACCTAACTGAGTTGTATTTTTTGTCTCTTTTTTCTCCTTAGTATTGTTACCTTTTTTGTAAAATAAAGTGTTATAACAGTCATTTAGAGACGTACATGGTTGACCAGTGAAAGGTCGTACATTCATGTTGGTGTTGCTGCTCAAGCAATGTGCAGGCTTTGGTCCCAAGATAGAATGCATAAAGTTATAATTGCAAAACACGACAAATTACTGTAAGTTAAATTTTCACATGTGGTGTCGTGTTAAGGCTCATCAAAATGAGCGGGTGGTTGGAGGGCGCCACTGGTAGGTCCTACTTCTTTACTTCCGTTTTGTTTTTTGTCTGTTGGTCTTATTTTTTCCTCAGCACTAAATGATCATTATTGTGTCTATGTGCTTCTCTTTACTCAACCAAATAAATTCAAAGTGAGATCAGATTCGGCGTAGGTGTCTCTGTCTGCAAACCCATATCAGTTTGGCTCTGTCAAACTGCAGTAATAAAACACTTGAATTAATCATGATAGTGTTGGGTATGTAAAACACCTACGGTCTCTCAATCGCACGGGGTCCCCCTTATGTTCACACTGCACGATCACCCGTAAATAAGACAACGAGATATCACTTTCTCCACTGCACTGTCCTACCCTAAACATCTATCGGCATCCTTCTCCTACTTTTTGGAAATGTTGTATACCTCCATCGATACAAACAAAGGCTACGTGTCCACCAGAGCAGAAACGGCCCGATTTAAAAAAAAAATTGTCACCTCTAGCTGGACCAATGACTGTTGAGTTACCAAACGGTCCGACTAAAATGCCGCATGCGTTATTTGAACGTCTTTTGTCTGTATAAGTCGGGCCATTTTGATGGACACATCCAAACGGAATACTCACTGATGGCTAAGGTAAAAACCGGTGCGCTGTTTCAAGTACCGATTTTCCGAGGGACGGGCGACTTTTTTTAGTCGGCTGGTTTCTGGTTTGGTGGACACGCGGGCTGTCATATTTTAGGAGTCTTTTTCTGCGACTACACGCTAAAATATACGCTAAGGAAGTGACGGTACTTAAGGGACGTACGTGCGGATTTTTGTAGATTTGTTGATTTAGTTAAGAGATGCAGTTTCTGTTGCCCTTCAGCCTTTTATTTTTCCTGATGTGTTTCAGCTATTTTTTGCGCTCTTTTTTTTTACAAGAAATATTTCAGTCATTTTATACCCTTTTTTTTCTCTTCACAATGGGTTTTGTTTTGCAGGGAATTTCTCCCCCTGTCCTTTATTTCCTTTGATCCTTTTTTTTTAGTTACTCCTTTTTTTTCTTTTTTTTTTGGGCATAATTTTAAAGATGCTTTTAATTAAGGAGAGTTTCTGTATGAAAAACTATCAGAATGCAAATTTCTCTTTTATAATATATTACTTGATAATTAAATTAGAATATTATTATGTTCACCATACTGAGATAATGATCGATGTGATCACTTGTTAACTCCCAACCCCTACCCAACCTAGAAACATGCTTGTAGTGTTTGTGATTTCAGAAAATTAATTATGTTGTTGACCTCTGTATGGACTGTCTAAGTGTACTATTCATCGGCAACCTTTTGTGTTCATCACATTAAATTTTATTGACAGTTAGGTTTTTTTCTGTTTACCTAAAAATAGATGTGCAATTTGTCAAAGTTTAAGTAGGCTTTGTACATTTTTTGGGATAATTTTGTTATGCTTTACCAATTCAAGTTTTTTTTAAAGTTATATTTAATTCTTTAAAATGTTTATTTAAATTTATTATTTTATTCATTTAAAAAAAATTTATTTTTTGTTTTATTTTCATTTTATTTTTTATGGCCGGGGGGGGGGGGGGGGGGGTAAGTTTTACAATGCCATTGCGTACAGTTTCTAAAGTTGTTTTCGTTTTATGTCTCTCGAGATATTGTCACCTTCATGTGCTTCGAGATTTCATCTTTTAATTCCACGCGATTTACGTTGTTGTCACCACTCCACATGTCTAAGATGTTGTCATTGTCCAACGTGTCTTTTAGATGTTGTCATCACCCTGCGTGTCTTAACCCTTGACTGCGCGGTAAACGTATCTCTTACGTCATGATTGTCCGCCTCCCAATGCATTGTGGCTGTAGTGTAATATTCCCATACAGCAGCTGAAACATGTCTCTTGTTTCGGTGATATTCCAGCTTCTAAATAAAGAGAAAGACATCACCGGGGCGGTGCCACTGACTGAAGTGTCTTTAGGCCATTCCCAAAGGGGGAGAGGGGACATTTCTCGTTCTTGTGCACAGTAGAATTGTAAATGGGCTGATTCAACAATGTCGTGCTCATAACTGTGCCTGAACTACAACAGGGAACTGCTGCTTTTTCTTTCCTTATCCTTACTATTGTCATTTTCCTCATCTACTTCTTTTGTATGTTTGTCCCACTCTTGTGACCTACTATTTCCGGGGTGCCTTGAAAGTCAAAACAGACTTTGTGCTGTTGAAGCTCGAGAGGTGAGCAGAGTAAGCCTGATTCCATGTAAAGCCTTCTCTGTTAACATCCACCCCTTGGCGCTCATATGAGCTTATGAAGTTGCAAGCGCCCTAAAACCTCTACCAAAAAGAGAAAAAAAAGAAAGAAAGACATCCCTTGAAAGCTAGATATATGAGGTCATATAGACCATTACACGGAAAACGCGGACTCTATTATAACCGAAAACAAAGCAAGGTGTGTTGTTTTTCTTACACCCAGCGTGTCAGTCAGAGTTGAAGCGTCGGCTCCCGAACCCTTGTTCAGTTCCTGTACTTTCTACTTGTTTACATCGTTTTGGCTTGCTCTGTCCGAGTCTTGTCCGTAGATGAAACCATCTCTTCATTTCTCTTTCTATTGATTTACATGTACATGTAAAAGTTTGACGGGTTGCCCGGGTTAAAGTGTGTTGTCTTTCTCACACACATCATGGGAGATAGAGAGCCAACGTGTAGAATCGAGGCGCTTGTTCAGTCTTATTGCTTTCAAGTTGTTTACATCGTTATGGATTGTTCGATTGCAGGTTTTGTCAGTGGGTAAATTAATCTCGTCATTTATCTTTCTGTTTATAAACGTTTTACTGGTCTGTCTCTTATAATAAGCGAACAACCGTTGATTAAAAGTCTGGCGCACTGTATAGTTTTCCCTAGTATGTGGGTGCATGTCTAGCAGTCAAGGGGTTAAGATATTGTCATCACTCCAAGTGTCTATGATGTTGTCATCACTCCACGTGTTTAAGATGTTGTCATCACTCCAAGTGTTTAAGATGTTGTTATCACTCCATGTACCATAAGATTTTGTCATCACTCCACGTGTCTAAGATGTTCTCATCACTCCACATGTCTAAGATGTTGACATCACTCCACGTGTCTTAGATGTTGTCATCACTTCACGTGTCTTAGATGTTGTCGTCACTTCATTTGTCTGAGATGTAATTATCACTCCACGTGTCTAAGATGACGTCATTACTCCATGTACCGTTGGACTTTCTCATCAATTCAGTTTCAAAGATATTGTCATTCATTCATTCTACATGCGTGGGTGGTTTCAGGGGCTCTGATGTGGTTTGCTCCTTATTTTCTATCAAACATCTATCGTCCTTAGCCCTCCTCCTACTTTTCTTGGTTTGTTGCTCTCAAGTAGCACCTCTAATCTAAGGGCGGACAGTTGGTGGGTGTTCTGGTGTGGTTTGCTCCTTCTTTCCTATCAAACATCTTTCGTCCTTATCTCTCCTTCTTTTTTTTGTGTTTGTTACTCTCTTGTAACACTTCAAATCTTCGGCATTTATATGACCGTATTGTGTTGTAAATGCTGTAAAACTCTTACTAAAACTAAAACGTCCTTATTTCTCCTTCTTTTTTTGGTTTTGTTACTCTCTTGTAACACTTCTAATCTTCGGCCATTCATATGACCGTATTGTGTTGCAAGTGCCGTAAAACTCTAAGTAAAATATATAGTCTAAGGCACTGTTATGACTTTCTTATGTTTCAAGTTCCGTAAAACTCTTGCTGAAACATGTCACATACCATAAGATGTTGTTGTCACGCTATGTGTCTTATGCAGTTGTCTTCACTTCATGAGTCTTAAATTGTTGTCGTTAGTTGTTGTTTTATTTTTTACAAGTCTTACTCTCCAGTTATACCGCTATTTTCGACACTTCTGTGACCTGTTTGTAATGCAAGTGCCGTAAAACTTTTTTTTTAATGATAAAATAAGAACAAAAAATTAATTGTTGTAATCACTTGTGTTAAATTATTGCGATTTGGATGTTTCTGAGGGTCCGTTTGTGGGGTGGTTGGAGCTTGCCTCTGATAGACCCTACCTTGTTTCTTTCCATCTGTTGTTCGTGTCTGTCATTCTCGCCTTTCTCCCGCGCATAGTGAGCGTTTTCGTGCCTACGTGCCTCTCGTTACTCAAAACAGAGAAATGGGCTGATTTACCGTGACCCTTTGTCTGGTTTTTTTCTTCTCCTTTTGCAGCTCATCGAGCTAAGTTGCAGCAGCAGCAGCAGCACCAGCTCAGGCTTCAGATGCAGCAGCAGCAACAGCAACAACAGCAGCAACAACAACAGCAGCAGCAACAGCAACAACAAGTGGCCAACCCTCAGCTGCGGCATATGCTCATGAACCAACACGTAAGAAGTTTGATATAACCTTTTCGCTGTGCTCCCGATCTCCTTCTTTGTTCCTTAATATTGTGCCTGTTTCATTCGTAGATGTCACTGGTCGGTCCTGTCGATGATGTTGTGTTTTTCTGTGTGATCAATGAAAGCACAGTTGGGGTAGGCTTAGTTGATGGGTGGTTGGCGGATGCCCTGTGTGGTTTTCTCCATGTTTCATATCAAATATATCTGTTGTCTTCAACTTTCCTCCTACATTTTTTGTTTGTTACTCTCTTGTATGTAACACCTCTAATCTTGGGCACTTAGCTCCTTATTGCTATTTTTGATATTTGCTCTTGTCGACTTAAAGTTTTAGATGTACCCTTGTTGTATTCATAGTAATTATCATTCGACTCATTCATTGCATAATTCTGCTTTTGTGACTTTAAAAAACCCACAAAAAAAAACAACCGCACACTGTAACTTGTCAGGTGATTTGTTTAGAAACCCTTAGTCGGCAATGCTAAATTGTGGTTTGTATGGACGAGTGAGGATGAAAAATATAATCGTTATTCGTCGGTGGCCTAGTTGTTAGGCTACGAGACTCGTAATCGTGAGGTTGCGGGTTCGGGGGTTCGAGCCACGGACCCGACGTTGTGTACTTGGGAAAGGCACTTTGCACGAATTTTCCTCACTTCACCCAGGTCGGAATGGGTACCCGGCCATAGATACCGAA